CCTGCGGAGCACCGCCAGTTCGCGTGTGGCCCAGAAGGCGGGGTCGGTGGGCCGCGGGAAGGGGGGCGGCACAGCCCTGGGGTCTGCTTTCAGCCTTCTCCCCCTTCTCCCCCTCAGCGCATCCGCCTCGAGCCGCCGGCCCTGTGATCAATAAAGCCCAGACAGACAGACTGTTGATCAGTAGGAGCCGCTGGGTTCTCCCGGGTAGACTGGGGACGAGTAGCCGGCTAGAGACACTTAACGAAAATTAGCAAATCCAAAAGTACCCGGCGCCAGCGAGACGACACTGGCCGAGACTGACACTCAATTAACCACCCCCCCTAACAATTGAGGCAAACACACCCGCTGACCCTGGCGGTATCAGCCCCACAGTGATCTCCCGGAGATGCTAATTCTTTTGTTAGGACGTCCCCAAGGCGGTCTCAGAGGGTCTGTCGATCACGGAGACACTCAGAGACGCACTCGCCCAGAGACACAGTTTTTATTTTTCTTGGATGAGAATTAAGCTTAAAACTCTTAAGATCTAGGAGAATGCTCTTTTACGCCCCCACCCCCCAGAACCTGAGATTAACAAAAGTCGACCATTTGCAAAATTCCCTTTTAGGAACAGCCAACATTTCCCTTCCTCTCATATGCTAAAAGAGAGAAGGGTAAAAAGAAAGAAGCGTATCTGAGTGCCCCGGGAGCTTTAAGTTAAGTAAAAAAAAACCTACCTCTTGACTGAAATTCAGGGAGCATACCTCAAATGCCTAACCTTGGAGTTTACAGTCCTTGGAAGTCTGCAGAGCTGGGGGATGCAGTTAATGAAATTGCCTTTGAAAAGTCATGGTTTCATGCAGAAAAATAGAATAATTTTATAAACTGATGCTCTGACCATTACTTCATTACATCAAAATTGAATCTAAAAAGAGGGAAAGGAGGGCCCTGCAGTTGTAGGAGAAAATGTAAACCAGTTGCAGACGCCAGGTAAACAGGCTTAGGGTGGCTGACGGTCCTGGGAAAGGTTCCATTACCACAGCCTGTGGAACTTTGATGATGTGACAACCCTAAGGGCTTTGCACAGACAGTATATTTCCTGTACGGATACACTCTTGTAACTTCAGAGAGTCGATTATTAGCTAAAAGAAAATCTTCAGACATTTTCTTTTTAAGAATTACTTTATTTAACTTGATTTATTTTAATTTGACCCAGGGGTCGAGGGGGAGGAAAGTAAGAAAGCAATCCACCAGGCCCAGGATTCAAACCACAGTTGGCCATGTGGGGAGTCCAGCAACATAACCATTCCAACATAACCTTTGGATGGGAAGAGCGCTGGGGGAGTGCTGATGACACTGTACTGCAGTAGACACATTCCGTGTTTCTTTCCAGCTCCATTTGGAGAACATCCCCTTTACCAGGAGAAGGCATTGGCAGTCCCTCTGGCCAGAGCTGGTCCCATGACCCAAGTCAGGCCCATTAGATTTTCTCTCCTGGTCTTGGCACAGAGGTACCGGGTGATCTCTAAGTCAGTTCACAGAGACTACACATTCAGGGTGGGGGCAGACACAGTCCCCCGGCCTGCAGAGAAAGAGAAATGACAAGGCTTGCAGATTGCAGAGTGGCAGAGATGTGTTTCCAAATGGATTTCCACCCACTTGACTTCACTTCTTTTTTATTTTTAAAAAATTATTTATTTTTAATTTTATTTATTCATTCACTTATTTTATTTTGACCAGAGAGAGCCACAGAGAGAGAGAAAATGAGAAAGCAAGCCACCAGGTCCAGGACTTGAATCATGGTTGGCCATATGGGAATATCCAGTGCCTTAACCACCATGCCACCTGCTGGTCCCCTTGACTTCACTTCTTGTCCTTCATTTGCATATTAAGGTTAACTCATTACCTAAATAAGTTCCTCTTTTTACTTAAGGTTCTTTTTATTCCCCAACTCAAAGGGTCTCAGCTAAGATACTAATATTTTATTGAATAGTGACTTTCCTTATTCCAGGCTGCATCCTTTTTTTGTGCCAAATACAATTCAGAATAAGAAGTCACAGGGGCCGGCAGGTGATATGGTGGTTAAGGGTGCTGGACTACCATATGGCCGACCATGGTTCAAGTTTCAGACCTGGTGGCTTGTTTTCTCACTTTCCCTTTCTCTCTGTCTCTCTCTGGTCAAATTAAAAAATAATGATAACAAAAGGAATTAAATAAATGAATTAATAATTCTAAAAAGAAAGAAACAAGTCTGGGCTGGCCTTGTAGCCTAGTGGTTAGGAGAGCTGGATCCCAGATGGCCAACTGTGGTTTACATCTCAGCCCCAGCAGCTTGAGAAGCAGGGAAGAGAGGGGACCAGCAGGTGGTGTAGTGGTTAAGGCACTGGACACTCCCACATGGCTAACCACAGTTCGAGTCCTAGACCTGGTGGTTTGCTTTCTCACTTTCCCTCTCTCTCTGTGTGTCTCTCTCTGGTCAAATTAAAATAAATGAATGAATAAATAAATAATTCTTTAAAAAAAAAAAAAAGAATATCCACATTCCCAGCAGGATTAAGAAGGAAAGAGGGGGATTGCAGTGTGACCACACACCAGTTAGGGTATTTTCTCCCTCTTCCTTTCTGTTTCTCTCTTGAGTGCATGCACTCTCTGGTAATTAAAATAAAATTTTAAAAGTCTATAGTTATTGGTTTGGAGCAGACATGGACTTTTCAATTAGGTGAATGAGAGTATTTGAATCGATGTGGAAAATGAACATTGGTTTAGGGCTAATACGTCAATTGTGTGGCCATGTCAATAGTTGAGAGACTAGGCAATAATTTTAATTCAATTGAAAACTCCTAAGGAAAATTGCTTCTCTACAGAATGTTATTTGTGTTTTATGCATAATGGAATTATTATTTTTCTATGGGCGGGTAGGTAAGTAGTGGGAAAAATAGGAAAATCTAGTGTCCTTTGAAGTTTAAATGATGAACTCAAATCAATGACCAAAACTTCTCTGCTCTTACAAAAGGAATTCTGAAAATACAACCTGTGAACAAGCTATCTATCCCCAAGAACTGAAAGTTGATTCTAGACCTAATTGCAATAATAAAACATTTGAAGGACCTGCAGTATTAGTAATGATTATGTCGCTGGACTCCCACGTAGTCGACCGCAGTTCAAGTCCCGGACCCGGTGGCTTAAACTCACGCCAGGCGCGTGTGCGTGCGTGCCCAAGATCCCAAGAGGAGAATGGAGGAGAAAGGGATTGTGGCGTGGCCATCCCCCCTGGGGGGTGATTTCTCCCTTTCTATCTCTCTGTCTGTCTCTGTCTGTCTGGCGAGCGCACGCGCCCTATAACAAAAACCTCTCAAAAAAAACAAAAAAACAAAAAACATTCAAATGACTTTATCACTCTCTAGTAGTGTTGTGGATACAATTTGCCCATGGATTTATGTATTTCTGGTCACAACACACTACTATGATACACTGTTATGATTGTCCTGTATCACAAACCCATTTTGTTAACAAAACTATAAATACTTATTTCTGCTTACCCAAATAATGCCAATGCCATTGTTTCCCCAAAGTCATATATGTTTCCCATTTTCATCTTCTCTTCACAATGCTGATATTAAAAATAATAATAATAATAAGGGAACAGCAGGAGGAGTGGTGGTAAGGTGCTGGACACTCCCACATGGCCAACCATAGTTCGAGTCCCGGACCTGAGGCTTGCTTTCTCACTTTCTCTGTGTATGTGTGTGTGTGTGTGTGTGTGTGTGTGTGTGTCTCTCTCTTGTCAAATTAGAATAAATAAAATTAAGTAAATAATTATTTTTTAAAAATAGCTCTTGGTACATTTTTTTTTCAGAGAAAAAGCAGTTGTGTTCAAATTCCTGGATGGCAAACAACCAATAATTGTAGCCTACTGATAGAATCTAACATTTCTGCCTGTCATGCAAATCTTCTACCAACTAGCAATCCACAGAGGTGAGGTGATACTTCAAATTCACGGGAGCAGCTCTTTCCTAAGTCATTTGTTCTCAAGGAGCAGTTGGGAGTTCAGATCTAAAACTTACTTTTATTGAACTGGCCAGAGGTGACAGATCAGCCCAGACCAAAAGAACAGCTGTGTAGCTAGGAGTTTTTAGCTCTTAGTTTGTCTTGCTCTGTGTGTGTGTGTGTGTGTGTGTGTCTGACTTTTCATTCTCTCCTCCAAAATGAGAAGAGAGACGAAGGACTGGCCGGCAGTCAGACTTCATGTTAGCCCTTGATCTTTGTCTGGTTTGGAGGAGAAACCACAGTGGACCATGTGGGATCCAGCCCTCCTAACCATCAGGCGAGAGGGCCGGCCCA